ATCTGAAGGACCGAAACCAAAATTTCATACTCTTAAGAAGTCAAACTCAAGTCTCTCAGATGTTGTACTAAAGCTTACTTGGAATTTTAAAGACCAGCAATGTCTGAAGACTAGAATAATTTGAAGCAAGCAAACGTTGTTGATCGAAAAAATAGCAAGTGTATTATTTTGCCTCTTATAATAATAGGGAAAATTCCCCGATTATCGATCTCAAGGACTGCGCAGAAGTATCGAGTTTAATTCGTGGTTCAATTAAACAAAAATTTAATTTGGGGTTTTGTTTGATTATTGTTACTGTAAATTAAACATAAATATTAATTGACTTTTTCACATATATGAGTAACATGCTAGGGTAGAGTGTATAATTTTCCCTGTAAGAACCTTGAATATTGATCTCTTTAACAAGTTCATAATACCAATTACCAGCTCTTTAGCTTATTTTCTCCTAAGTCCTTAGTTGGAAAACCTTTGAACATTCATCCTAAATCCTAAGTCCTTAGAGAATTATGATGAAATCAAGCATTTATTTTATCAAGAGTTAACTGGTAACTATAGTATCCCTAGTTCTAGGTGATATCTACTATAGTCTAATTGTACAAAAACCTTAACAACTGCGACCTAGCTGGTTGTTAACTGTAAATCAATCCTAATTGGTCCGGTCAGGAATGCATAAAAACATTGCACGATTAAATTGAATAATAAAAACCATGGAATTGAGAAAATCAGAAATTCAAAGTCATTACAGATTTAAATCAGGGACACCCCATAGAATTAGGGGTTTAAGTACTCATATTGTTCAAAGAAAACAAAAGATAAATTGTAAACATTACAAGTATTGGGGAGAAATTTGATCTTCAATCCTGTCCATTCATGAAAATCTCCTTTCTCTGAAACCCTTGTCTTCTCCAATCTTCTCTCGTGTAATTTTTCGCTGGAAAAAGTCTTATAAATCAAATAAGGGTTTTCACTACTAACTCAAAATGGGTCAGAAACATAAACTAGGCCCGTAAAACGACCAGAAACAACTTAATTTCTAAAGTTTTCAACTTCAATGAATTTTTCGAGGCTTCTACAATCCGAATCAACTTCTGACTTCAACATGAAATTTGCAGCTCTTTCTCCCAGCTTTCCAACAAATATCAGAGCGCGTCGATTTGATTCACGTAGCTCCAGTTATGAATTTTTTAGTGAAAACCGCTAATGACATATCAATCAGTGCATTGTCTGACACGGGCAGTACCAGCTGACACGGGCGACCGTGTCATACCTCCTGGAGCATGCTGAAAACTTCTCTGAAACTCTGAATTTTGCACTTTTTTATACTGATTTGTCCCGATTTATTCCTATGATCCTAAAAATAGTAAAAGCACACAACCAACACATGAAATATGGTAAAATGAAATAAAATACTCGACAATCAAAATAAAAGATACATGAAATCAATGGGAAATAAGTGTGTAAATACCACTGGTCAGCTGTCATAAGGAACGACTCTGCAACTTCTGAACAAAACTCATCAACATTTTTGTAGTCTCTGCTTCAAAGGATTATTGTCTATGTCAAGTCAACAACTATGAAAGTGTTCATCCATATTAGTTCTAATCAAGACTCTGATAAATGCAAGCTCATAACCTATAAACTCAAGACTCTGTAGTCTCATTCTAACCAGCTTTTGAAGACATACTCTAACTTCTGATCAAGATTTATATAATTCTATAGGAATCCTCTAATTCAAAAAGTTAAGTATAATAAATAACAATGACTTTATTCAAGCTTCAACAAATGTCTATAAGAAGTCTTAAGTCAGAAGTTATCTCAAGAAGATGTTGTGACAACATACAACTACTATATGTCTAATCAAGAAAGTTACGTTGTTAAGATCCCGTCTCTTTAGTTGTTTTTAAAACTCTACTTTTCTCATCTCAACGTCTTTATGATATTTGAGTTTAATTTTCACTTTACGTGTTCTAGTTAAAGACCTTCAACGACTACTTGTATTATGGATAGTTTCAACCTTCAACGACTACATGAACTATGGGAAGTCTCAATATTCAATGGATCTATTTTCATAATTATAAAAGAAGAAGAAGATTGAAGAAGAAGATATGTGTGTGCATGATTGACTTCACATGAATGTGATTCTAGAACACACAATGAGGGTTGAGAGAAAACTGTTTTACCCAGAAAACGCATATGAGATAAACACACAAAAGAAGAAGATATCTAACCAGAAGGGTTAATGTTTGTTAAGAGAAAAGAAAGAAGACTTAGACATATTCACATATAATTAGGAGAGTCAAAAGAAAGAATATGTGAATATGATCAAACAAATCAACAGAACAGTAAGGCACAACAAATGAAGATCATTTGTGCAGAAGAAGAAGAAAAAGAATGAAAACTTCATTCTTATACACTTAGGAGCTATATAATATATATCTTGCTCAAAGTGTCAAACCTTTGTGTATCTTCTTAACTAAGAAGCACACATATAAACACAAAGGTTAATAACAAACTCTCTTGTTAAAAGAATCTAGAGTCTCTAGCATCCATGCTTGAGCAAAAGTCTCTTTAAATAGATTGAGCAGGAAGTCATAAACTGTTGGTTTAGGTAAGGAAGTCTCTTGCTTGAGGGCTTGAGTAGGAAGTTTTGATCTGAGGATTGTGCAAGGAAGTCTTTTGCTTGATGGCTTGAGCAGGAAGTCTCGATCTGAGGATTGAGCAAGGAAGTCTCTTGCTTGAGGGCTTGAGTACGAAGTCTCGATCTGAGGATTTAGGCAATGGGGTCTCTTGTTGGAGGGCTTGAGAAGGAAGTCTCAATCTGGAGGATTGAGCAAGGAATCTCTTGTTTGAGGACTTGATTAAGAAGTCCTGGACTGAGAGTTTGGGCAATGAAGTCTCTTTCTAGTTTGATTTAGCAAGAAGTCCTAAACAATATGTTTGAGTAAAGAAGTATCTTTCTAGTTTGACTGAGCAAATTGTAATTTGAATAATTAAAGTGAGAATATCTTGTGCTGCAAAGGGGTTGGACTACTCTCAGGTTGAGAGGAACCATGATATATCATGTGTCACTTTATTTACTTTTGTATTTATTTATTCCGTTGTGCACTGAACTCTGAAGTCACACTCTGGTCTAACATAGTTCTTCTTAACTAAGAAACTAACCTCTTCTAATTATGTTATGAATCAAGATTGTTAAAAGAAATAAACTTTAATATACACAATTCAACCCTCTTTCTTATATATTTTTCTCACCTTCATGATTTACTGATTGTGAGGAGTCATGGAAGACATGTCAATGATAGAATTTTTATTTGAAGAACCATTTTCATTTGGAAATGTTGGCTTGACTTAATGACATGAAACTCTTAGGTTTCTTATATCCAGGAAGAAGACCATGGAGTTGAATATCATTTTTCTATTAGATGACCAAGAACACCATAATGTGCACAAGTTGGTCTATCTTTTTTGAAATTCTTAGAGATGGCTTGAACAACACAAAAAATTGATAATTCACTTGGAGGAAATGTAGCAGTTATCTTCCTTTGTTTCTCATCTTGAGGTACCATAGCTAAAACAATGCTAATTGAAGGCAAATGATCCATCAACAAAATTTGACCACAAACTTAATTAAAAGATTCATTAAGCCCATTAAAAAGTAAGAATGTGCTGATTTTGAAGATGATCAATAATAGGTTACACTCCTCATTGAAATGATCAAGGAAATCACAAATGAAAGAAGAAGATCATGAAGGAATTTGAAGCAAGAAGAAAATCAGAAAATTTCTTCTTATAACATATTGCATTAACAGAATTTGGAGGGTAAAGTGAAATTTACCATTGAATGTTAACTTGCTTATTACAAAGTGAAACGTCAATCACCTATATAGATGTGTGAATGCTAACAGAAAAACAGCTACAAACATAACTAACTTGTAGTTAAGTAGTTAATTCTAACATCTAATCACATTGTGAACTAACTAACTAATGCACTTAATAGTTATCGCCCTCAACCTGAGTTTAAATTCTGTCAAACACTTAAAGGATTCAGGTCCATTTAAGGGAGAAAATCTCTCTCTAAAACTCTAAATATGAGCTCACTTAAATATTATTTTGTGGGCCTCATTTTACTACATTATCTTTAAGCAACACACTCATTTTTACGAAGAGAGATCGACTACTTTGAACTTTGGTGCCTTTGATAAGTTTTTCTCTATCTCTCACTTAGCTATTCATCATCACTTATGCATTAAATGTATCAAAGTTATCTAATACTAGTAAAGGTAGCAAATTCATTCTCCATTTTTACCTCAAATTATACAACTCCCCAAAACCTGTATTGGATTCCAAAGTTATACTTTATATATCAATATTTTATTTATATTTGAATTGAAAGCAATTTAAACAAATAGCTTTTTCCACTCAATATCCACAAAATAACATACTTCGTGCATGTTTTAGATTGACTTTTACAAATTTCAAAATTAATTTTATAAATGTAAAATCGATTCTACATGATTTTGATGTCTTTGATTTATTAAAAATAGAATTGATTATGTCTCTAAAATTAATTTAACTTGAAGTTAGAATTTGTAACTTCTACATTTAGAATTGATTTTAAGTGATTTTTACAATGAAATCTATTGTTCAACACACTTTTACATAAATATATTCAAACATAAATCAATTGTATTAAACTCGATTCTATTAAAATTAATTCTACCAAAATCAATTTTATCAGAACCAATTCTGTCTATTGTCAATCCAAATATTTCCTTCACCAAATTACAATATTCCCAAAGTGGCATACTCTGGACCATGTGATTTCAGGATCATCAGGACTGAGCAAGCGGGGAATCAAAGACTCAATCCTATCACTATTTTTAACACCATCAATCTAGATCCACTTACAATAAATTGTAATGAAATGTGTATACAACAAAACACATTGTATATATAGTTAGTATTATGAGGTAAAAGAAGAAGAAAATCATGTATCATGATCATTTTTCAGTTGAAAATTTGGGGACATTAAATCTCCTAGAAGACATATTATTAAAAAGATTCCTAAGACTATTCTTACTCTCCCTCTTACCTTTCAATTGAACCGATGTAGAAACACAAAAATCATCAAATGGATTATCTAAAGCCAACCCAGTTTCAATCCTTCTTGAAACTGTTACAAGCTCATAAGGATCCCAAAGTGAGTGTTGAAAGTCACCACAATAAGTTGAAGTGCCTGTGTCACTTGTTGATGATGATTTTGTTAATGTTTCAAGCTTAAACCTTGAAGGCCTACCTTTGAAATTTCTTCGGCGTGCGTCGAATTCACTCAATGGTTTAACACTTCCGGAGTGATTGTACCAAGCTTGTGCAACTGCTTTCAATAATTCTAAATCTTGGTTGTGTTGATGTTGCTTCTTCTTCATGGTCACTGAAAATGGTTTGTTTTTTCATGGCCTTAGAAATGACATAAGGGGGGTGATAAGGTTAGGCATAGTGAATTGTTTTTTGTTTGTTTATGTTTTTTCTTCTAATTTTTGTGACTATGAGGTGAAGAGGTAATGCAAGTGGAAAATTTGGCTGGTTGTAAAATAAAGGGTCATAGTTTTGTGTGAATATGATAAATTGGTAAGTTGTGGAATATGAAGTTTGGTGTCTGTTTGGAAGCACAGTGGGTGGAGTTTAAATAGGCATCACTTTCAACGCTAAAAATTGTGACTTGTGAAATTGTGGTGGATGGGAATTGAATCGAGATGCCGTCAGTAACATACACCTTAACAAATTATATACATGTGTGGTTTAAATCAATTTTAAATTTAAAAAATCATAACATCTCTAATTAAAATAACTCACAGCTACTATTTAAAAAATATATATAATTTAATTTTATCTATAAAATATAGTTTAATTTAATATTGTATCTAATATTGTATATAATATTGTATATTTCGGAAATAACAGGTACTACTGGATAGTGTAACCGACAAGGAGAGAAGGATGAACTAGTAAACGATTTGAGGTGAAGATATTCGGGGTATAATCCCACAAAGGGGACTCTGGACGTCTCATGAGCCTGGGTAGCAGCTCGCCCTCGTCGTCAACTCGGATGAAGAGGATGACCGGGTAGCGCATACTCATAACTGATCACCTCCCGGCCCACTAAAGCCTGTAACCGTCGACAGCGCATTCAATTCTATGTTACACAGCACTGATCATCTTCATTCATAGAGACAGCGGTGGTTACATAGTTATGGAACTCAAGAGTCCCTCATTAACTGAAGCACTTGATGAAGCCAAGGCACTCACTATATAAAGGGGCTCCTGCCAGAGGGATAAGCAAGACATTCATCTTGGGACGCACGCATCACTGTCGTAGCTCCCAAATCTCCCAATCATCTCATAAACTCACTCCGGTAGGCTCTCCCTAGCTGCCTTCTAAGAAGTCGGCCAGATATTTATTCTACACAGGAACGTTGGCGCCCACCGTGGGGCCTTGGTAAAATTATTCTTAGATCACACCTCAATTCACCCCTGTAGAATATCATCACCTAAAGATCCCCCAGACATGGCACAACTACTTGCCATGGTGGAGGCCCTCAGGCAGTAGAACGAAACTCTACAAGACAGCGTTACAGACCTACAACAAAGAAGTGTATGGGATGATGGTCTAGAAGAGGAGCTTCTGGAGCCTCATCCCCTATCACAAGCTATCTGGGACGACCAAGTCCCAGAGAACTTCAAATCACCGTCATTGACAACATACGACGACAAAACTGATCCTCAAGAGCATGTTATCGCCATCAACAACCAAATGGTGATAATTGATCCCACCGATTAATTGAAATGTAAGCTGATGGTCGGCACCTTCAAGGATGTGGTTCTACGATGGTACATGAGCTTACTACGACTATCTGTGGAAAGCTACTCGGACCTAACGAATAAATTAACCCAACACTTCTCCGCTAACAAATATTGTAAGGTGTCCACGAAGTCCCTGTTCAACGTATGATAAGGACAAGCGAAATCTCTCAGAGAATACTTGGCCCAGTTCAACGAGGATACCATCAAAGTGTCTCACCCAAACCAAGAGTTGTTCATGGGAGCATTACAACACGTCCTCCGAGCAGGACAATTCAATGAGTCCTTAGCCCAGAAGCCGCACTATCCATCCTATACCTTACTATGAAATATCCCCTAGGGGATGGAAGAGTCGGGAAGGTCAAGAGCGAACAAGGGTTAGCCAGAAAATGCTACAAGGATAGGCTAAAGTTAAAAAAAGGTACAATTCGAAGGGCCCAGACGATCCAATGAGCTGAAGATCAACATGATCGACATAGATCCTTGAGATGATACGCGGGAAGAAAGCCTTTCTCCCTACAACAAAACAAAGAGAGTCTAGATCGACACTAAACCCTCCGAGGTAACTTACGTCGGATGCAAAATTTCCCGAGAAGAAGAAGCAGAGATTGTAGAACTATTAAAGGAGAACATGGACATACCTGAAAGCCTTCTGACATGTCCGAGATATATCCCAACTTCATGTGCCACCACCTTGACTTGAATCCAGATACAAAACTGATATCCCAAAGGAAAAAGAATGGAGGAGAAGAAAAAAAAAAGGTCATAAAAGATGAGGTCGAGAAGTTACTCGATGTCGGTTTCATCGGGGAAGTCAAATACCCTACCTGGTTGGATAATATGGTAATGGTCAAGAAGAAGACGGGGAAGTGGCGCATGTGCGTTGACTTTACAGATCTCAATAAGGCGTGTCCCAAGGACCCGTACCTGTTGCCGCAAATAGATCATCTCATCGATGACACCTCTGGGTACAGGCTCCTCAGCTCCATAGATGCCTACTTAGGTTATAATCAGATCTGCATGAGCCCAGAAGATGTTCCAAAGACCGCCTTCATGACAAACTGAAGCAACTACTATTACGAAGTAATTCCGTTCGGCCTGAAGAATGTGGGAGAAACCTACCAACGGTTAATGGACAAGGTATTCGCCACCCAAATTGGCAGGAACTTGGAGGTATACGTGGACGACATGTTCGTCAAAACCATTGTTGAAAAGTGACATGTGACGAACTTGAAAGAAACATTTGTATCCATAAGGCAATACAACATGAGGCTCAACCCAGACAAATGCATCTTTGGAGTTCAAACCAGTAAGTTCCTAGGATTCATGCTCACAAACCGGGGAATAGAAGCTAACCCAGAAAAATTTCAGGCAATTATAGATATGCGCAGCCCATCTTCAAAAAAGTAAGTACAACATCTAATGGGAAGATTGGCTACTTTGTCCTGATTCCTGTCATGCTCTAGAGACAGGGAGATCCACTTCTTTGCAACCCTCAGAAAGCCTGCAAATTTCGAATGGACGGCAGCCTGCGAAGAAGCCTTTCAAAGAGTGAAACACTTTCTATTCTCTCCACCGATTATTACAATACCGGAGGAGAACGTACCCTTGATCGTATACCTGGCGGTTTCCGAAAAGGCTATAAGTTCAGTACTTGTCCAGGAAGGAGAAGAGGGAGAAAAACCGGTATACTTCGTCAACAAGGTTCTGAAAGGGGCCGAGCTGCGATATTAGAAGATTGAAAAGGTAGTGCTAGCATTGTTTATGACGGCTCGAAATTTAAGGCATTACTTCCAGGGTCACCCGATAATCGTGAAAACTAATTATCCTATCAAGCAGATATTGAAGAAGTCGGACCTGGCCTATAGGATGGTTACGTGCACAGTGGAATTATCAGAATGCGATATTGAGTTAACCCTAAGAACCACCATCAAGTCACAATCACTCACTGACTTTGTAGTGGAACTAAGCGACCCGATGTCCTAAGAAAACACAAGCAGGTGGACCCTTCACGTCGATGATTCAGCCAACCTTAAGGGAAGTGAAGTCGGGGTCGACCTTGAAGGATCGGACAATTTTATACTTGAATACTCTTTGAGCTTCAACTTTCAGGCTATCAATAATCAAGCAGAACACGAAGCCCTCATAGCAGGAATGAAATTGGCTAGGGAGGTGGGAGTCACCCATCTAACCACTAACACTGATTCTCAATTAATTGCAGGGCAGATGACAGGAGAGTACCAGACGAGGGACTCAAAAATATTTGAAGAATTCGAGATTAATCACATCCCTAGGGAAGAGAACATACATGCCGACGTACTTGCCTGGCTCGCCAGGTCCAAAGGGCCAGGATTAAATAAAATTATGATACAGGAGATCTTAGAAAAGTCGAGTATCGAGCGAGAAGAGACCATGTTGATCGAGCACGTCATCGGCTGGATGGCCTCGATAATACAATACCTAACACTGGGAACCTTGCCAGAAAATGCAAACAAAGATAGGCGTGTGAAGAAGGTATCCGTTCGTTATTTAATATTGTTTAACAAACTATATAAAATGGGGAGATCCACACCCATGTTGAGATGTGTAGCGGAAGCGGAGATCACCTTAGTGATGAAGGAGGTCCACGAAGGATCATGCGGAAGCCATATCGGAGGAAGAGCCTTGTCCGGGTAGATACTTTGAGTCAGATACTATTGGCCCAGAATGTTACAGGACTACAGTGAATTCGTAAGCAAATGTGACAAGTTCCCGGTATACTCCATGCTCATACACTCCCTAGCAGAATTACTACACTCCATATTTTATCCATGGTCATTCTATCAATAGGGAGCAGACATACTAGGACTGTTCCCCGTAGCATCCGGGCAGTTAAAGTTTCTCATCGTAGTGGTCGAATACTTCACAAAGTGGGTCGAAGTCGAGGCTATAACTCGCATTACCATCGAGAGAGTACGTCACTTCTATTGGAAAAATACTATTTATAGGTTCGGATTTCCCAGAATCATAGTTTCTGATAATGGGACACAGTTTGCAAGCACGATTGTGGTAGAATTCTGTAGAGACTTGGGGATCCAAAACAGGTTCACATCAGTGGAACATCCTCAAGCCAACGGTTAAGCTGAAACGGCCAATAAGATCATTCTAACAAGACTGAAAAAGAAGTTGGACGATGTGTGATACGGTGGCAGAACTGACTGTTAATACTGGATTGTGTTTTTTGTTCGCAAATGTCGCGGTAAGCAAGAGTCGCCACCGACTTTTATTTTATCCAATCAGGAAAAGGAAAAAGAACAGAAAAAACCTTTTTCGAGATGTTTGAGTACGGGGGGTAGATTATAGAAAGGGAAGGTGTTAGCACCCTTTCTATCCGTGGTTTTCCATGGGCTCTTAGGTACTTGCTCATTTTGAAAACTGTTTATGTGTGCTTGTTTTAAAAAGTTGTGTTTTACTTCATATTAACCCTTGTTTCTATCCTCAAGAGTGTTATGAAGTTGTTTTTGAAAACTTTGTTTGGAAAGTGTTGGTGTGAAAAAGTTTTTGTTTGTTTGAGCAAGTACCTAGGAAC